CCGTGGATGATTCGAGGCGGCTCTCAGGTACATAAGTGATATCTTGTCTCTCTTCTTCGTCAGTTTCCTCCCTTTGCACCCCCCCCCTTAAAGCCCGGTTAGCAGCCTGTTGGAAGTCGTTCATCGGGCCGCCATCCCGTGACAGGTCTCCCGCCCGGCCTCGCCCGCGCCCCCGACCTCTCCAGGCCCTGCATCCACTGCGTCCAGCTAACTCCCCAGCCGTCGCGCGGGCGAGGCCGTGGGGGGTGTTCGGGCCGTCAATGGAGTTCCCCCTGAATGCGGTGGGAGTTGAGCGTCCCCATCGTGAGCGCTCCCGCGATTTGGAGAGTACGGGGGAGAGCGCCCCCCTCCGAGATCGGGCGAGCTCCCCACCGCCCTCGAACTACGATTGGGAGCGCGGGCTCCCAGTCGCAACAACGAGCCGGCAGCAAACCCCGGAGCGCTTGTCGGGCAGCCGCCACTCGTCCCCGGCCCGGCCCGGGCGGAAGGCTCCTGAGCATGCGAACCGCGACCGGCCGGGGATAGCGCAGCCACCGCAGCCGCAGCAGCCTCAGCCGGCGCCGTCGCGCCGAGGTACGCCTCAGCGCGGGGCGCAGGCGACTCCAGCCCAGCAGCACCGGACGCCGCAGGGGCAGCGGGGGCAGACCGGTCCACGCCGCGGGTGGCGGGCTGGCGGTGGGAACGGTCGCGGGTCAGCTGCGGAGAGGCGGCTGGGCCGCGCCGCGGCGACGCTGGAGAACCTGTTCCGATCGGTTGCTGCGCCTCAATCGGCGCCCGTTTATCCTCAGCCGCAGTTCCCGCCCGGGCAGGTGTACCCCTCACAGGACGCCCAACCGCGCATGCCGGCCCCATCCTGTCCTCCGCGTGCATCTGTGGCGCAGCAGGCGCCGCCCTTCCAGCAGCATCTTCAGGCACCCCATCCCCCTGCCCCCCCGTATCAGCCCTTGCAGCAGCCCGGCCTGCACTACCCGTCGCGTCCAGTGGCTGCGCCGACGGGAGTACCGACGGTGCGGTCGCTGCCGAGCTGGCAGCCGCCGCTGCTGGAGACATCAGCAGCGGGCTGGCCCGCAGGCCTGCATCCCCCGCTGTTCTTTGGCGAGCAGGCTGCAGCGCCGTTTGTTCCCCCCCGGCGGCCTCTGACATCCCCGACTGGGGTTGAGGGGGGGGCAGAAGCAGCGGAGATGGGGGGGGCGGAGTCCTGCGACGAGGGCTCCCCCCCGGAGCTGCTGGAGCCGCGCTGGTCAAGCGGCTTGCGGATGCCGCTGAGGGTGCAGCTGGAGCGGCTTCGGGGGCGTGGGCGACGGCGATCCCAGTCGCCACGCTTCGTCGGCTTTGGCACGCGCGGCGGGCGATGGGGATCGCCGTGGAGATGCTGGCGGACTCGCACTCCGTGCTTCGGAACTCAGCGAGCCCATGCAGGATGCCTCATGATCCTCTTCACCGCTGTGCGATGGCAGCAGCTGATCTCGCCGTCGTGTCGACGCGAGTGCAGCCCGTGCCCGCCCCGGGAACCGTGTTGGACCCACGTCTGCTCGTCGTGATGCGTGCAGTATCGGCGAGCATAGACTCGGCCGCAGCTGTAGACATTGTTGGCGGCGCCTTGTCAGCGCTCCAGCTCCTGGTGGGCTATGTGGCGGCCCTTCTTGAGGAAGCGGGAGCAGACCAAGTTGCGTGACCGGCCCCCTCCGCGCGTACGTGCGGTAGGGCGCCGCTCTCACCGGCGAGAGTCCCTCAGCACGGCTGATGAGGCTCTCCATGCCACCGGAATAGGTAGTTGCTAGGGTGTGTGCTTGGCCCGTGGGGCGTAGGCTGTCATTGCTTGTTGTTGTTGATGAATGGTGTGCAGAGTCCTTGCCGTCCCCAAACGCGCGGCCGAAGGCCGCCGGCGCGAGCCGCCACCAAGGGAAGGAGAAAAATAAGAAACCCAACTCAAAACTGAGGAATGAGAGGACTGAGGGCTCTAAATACTAAGGGACATAGGCTCCCTCTCTCTCTCTCTCTCTCTCTCCCTCTCGCTCTCTCTCTCTCCTCTCTCAGCCGCCACCAAGGGAAGGAGAAAACTAAGAAACCCAACTCAAAACTGAGGAATGAGAGGACTGAGGGCTCTAAATACTAAGGGACATAGGCTCCCTCTCTCTCTCTCTCTCTCTCTCTCCCTCTCGCTCTGTCTCTCTCCTCTCTCAGCCGCCACCAAGGGAAGGAGAAAAATAAGAAACCCAACTCAAAACTGAGGAATGAGAGGACTGAGGGCTCTAAATACTAAGGGACATAGGCTCCCTCTCTCTCTCTCTCTCTCTCTCTCCCTCTCGCTCTCTCTCTCTCCTCTCTCAGCCGCCACCAAGGGAAGGAGAAAACTAAGAAACCCAACTCAAAACTGAGGAATGAGAGGACTGAGGGCTCTAAATACTAAGGGACATAGGCTCCCTCTCTCTCTCTCTCTCTCTCGAACGGTCCGTCGTTGATGGGCAATCCTGGGTACAAACTAGGCATGCCGGATTGGTACAAACTGGTGTTTCGGCTCAGGTGAGTCTCCTATCGGGACCCCTTCTACTCTCGTTCGCCCTGGTGCTCTATCACTGCAAAACAGTCTCCAAGGGACATGCAGGCGTCCGGGGCGCCCAAGGGGGGCCACTCAAGGGGAGAGGCCTCGTTCACCTTCCCCAGGTACGAGAGCGCTTGTCCCCGTTGGAGTGTGATGGACCAGCGTTGCCGGAACTGGCTGAGCAGTTTTGCGGCTTGGTAGGAGCTGGGGTCGGCGTTGAAAAGGCGGCGGGCGGCCGTGTGTGCCAGGAGTTTGAGGAAGGTGGGCACCTCGGCGCAGGGGCAGCCGTATGTCTCTACCGCCAGCGGGAAAAAGCCGACGTACTCCGCCCGGCTGCGGTAGTCGTCGATCTTTTTGTCGGCCTGCTCTCTGGCCATGTAGCCGTGGCCTTTACGGGCTAGCGGGTCTCGTGAGCTGACCGGGTCGGTGACGGTGACATCGCAGATCCACACCACACCGCCCCCGAGTCCCGATCCTGGATGGCAAGGTCGGCGGTTTTGCCGTCGACCGGGTTGTAGATCGCCGTCTCTTTGGTGACGATGAATTGGGCGTCCCGTGCCATGCGGATGCACTCGTCCCTGAGGGCGTTATGGGTGTCGGTGCGGCCGTGTCCGGTCCCACAGCGGAACAGGTGGTTCGGGAGTCGTGGGTCCAGGATCTGTACCCGCTTGGTGCAGTTGCACACCTTGGGTGCGGGGAAGGGGAGGCCCAGGCGGAATGCCAGGGCTATGGCGAAGTGCGGGGGGGCGAGGCGGAGGGAGGGGAAGAGTGGGATAGCGAGGAGCCAGTCTCCTGCGCCATAACCAGTGAGGGAGAGGAGCCGTTGTGTGTGGCCGCTCTTGGCGTTGAGTTCCATCTCCCGGGTGGCCGCCAGCAGAGCAGCAAACCGTGCCGCGTGGACTTCCAGGGCGAGTCGGTGCTGGAGGGGCTCGTCTGAGGGCTCCAGGCGCTCGGCTCGCAGGAGCTCCAGGGCCGGGGCCGGGAGTGCTGCCTCACATTCCGCCAGCCAGGTGTGAAGTGGGGTGGGGCTGGTGTAGGGGGGTGCGAGAGCACATGCGGCGGTCGCCAAGGGGCCGGTGGGGTCCGAGGGGAGGGAGAGCAGGAGCCTGTGCGCCTGGGCCACGCTGGTCAAGAACGCATGTGGACCGTCCACTGCTGGGTCCACTAAGCCCAGGCCCCCTAGGGAGGGTGGGAGTGAGGCCTGCTCCCAGGTGCGTGCAAGTTCCCGCTCTCGCGCTCTCTCTCTCTCTCTCTCCCTCTCGCTCTGTCTCTCTCCTCTCTCAGTCGCCACCAAGGGAAGGAGAAAAATAAGAAACCCAACTCAAAACTGAGGAATGAGAGGACTGAGGGCTCTAAATACTAAGGGACATAGGCTCCCTCTCTCTCTCTCTCTCTCTCTCCCTCTCGCTCTCTCTCTCTCCTCTCTCAGCCGCCACCAAGGGAAGGAGAAAACTAAGAAACCCAACTCAAAACTGAGGAATGAGAGGACTGAGGGCTCTAAATACTAAGGGACATAGGCTCCCTCTCTCTCTCTCTCTCTCTCTCTCTCTCTCTCTCTCTCTCTCTCTCTCTCTCTCTCTCTCTCTCTCTCTCTCTCTCTCTCTCTCTCTCTCTCTCTCTCTTTCTCTCGCTCTCTCTCTGCTGTGCGTATGATCTGCCTCTGGCTGGAATCGGGGAGGGGGAAGGGAAGGGGGGAATGGTTTGAACTTTCTCTGAGGCGCCTGAAAATGGTTATCCGTGTTCAGCTCTCTCCCTGTGCTGTGCTTATGCTCTGTCTCGGTCTGGGAAAAGGGAGGGGGGCGTAGGGGAATGGGAGAACAGGGGGATGAGGAAAGGAGAAGGAGCGAGAATGGGGAGATGGGGATATATTGGGGAGAGTGATTTAGGTGTTGTGTGTGTGCACCTGGATATTATTGGGAGGGGTCTCATGCTGCTAGTACACACACCCCGCATTTTCGGCCTAGTGCAGTGTAGTGCTGTGCTGTGCGGTGCGTTACAGTGCAATTTCGGAGGGTTCGGTTGCGTGCTGTGCAATGCTGAGCAGTGCTCGCACACATGGCCCATTGTACTCTTGATCGCAGCATGAAATGGAGTCAATGCACATATTTAGAATCACAGTGGCTCCTTTCTCTCTCCCGCCCACATCTCCCATCAACCTTTCCCTCATCCCCAACTCTGCCCCCTCCCCCCCCCTTCCCCCCTCCTCCTCTGCCCCCCCCCCCCCCCCCCCCCAACATTCTTCTCTGCCTCGTTCTTCCTCTCCCCCATTCATCTCCCTTCCGCCACATTATTTCTTTTTCTCTCCTTCCCTGTCTTCACTTCCACCCCCTTCTCTCACTTCCACCCCTTCCTCTCACTTCCACCCCTTCCTCTCACTTCCACCCCCCCCTCTCACTTCTACCCCCTCTCTCCATCCTCCCCTCTCCTCAACCCAACTGCTTTTTCTTCCCCCCAACAGAGACATGTCCAATAATAACTTCATGTTTTCCCTTACAATGGAAATCAGTAGACTCAGCCGACTGCAGTACCTGTGCGTTTAGCGATGCACTCAATAACGAATCACTCCTCACAATGCACAACACCACACTACACCCACCACCACCACCACCACCACCACCACCACCACCACCACCACCATCACCACCACCACCACCACCACCACCACCACCACCACCACCACCACCACCACCACCACCACCACCACCACCACCACCACCACCACCACCACCACCACCACCACCACCACCACCACCACCACCACCACCACCACCACCACCACCACCACCACCACCACCACCACCACCACCACCACCACCACCACCACCACCACCACCACCACCACCACCACCACCACCACCACCACCACCACCACCACCACCACCACCACCACCACCACCAACACCACCACCACCCCCCACCCCCCCCCCCCCCCCCCCCCCCGCCGCCGCCGCCGCCACCACCAAACAACACAAATTTAACTGCAAACCCAGTGTGCGCAGGGTTCACCCGGGCTTTCTCTTTCTGCCCTGCAGATAAGCTGTGCTTTTCTATTGCGAACCCACCGAGGCAAAGAACTCTTCTTCTTTTGATCCAGTCTTTCGCTGTTGGGCATAAAGAAGTAACATCAAAGTTGCACTCCCTTTCACCGTACCCAACCCCGTATACTCACTTCACCTCTCACTTTCACTCTCGCGCTTTCCCTCGCTCACTTTCACCCTCGCACTTCCCCCCTCTCTTTCCCTCCCTTCCCCTCTGACTGGCAGTAACTTATCCTGGAATTCGATTGATGGCCCCATTGTGGATGAGATTTCTGCTCTCACTGACCTCTCCGTGCTGTTAGTGCCTCCAAAGACTATTGCCTCTGCATAGCATCGCATGTGCACGGCATGTGCATGGCATGTGCATGGCATGTGCACAGCATGTGCATGGCATGCGCATGATGCCATAGGGGTGCTTTTGCTGGGACGTGTGGCGTGCCCACATGGCTGGCCTATTCATTTTTTGTCTCTTTGTCATCCCTCTGTTTTTGAGAATTCTCAAAAACAAAACACGTCCCTGTGTCATCCCTTTGCGTTGAAATTCGCGCTCGTGCTACTATGTCCGTGCCTATCTTCTTCCATGCACCCCTCTCTCCGTTCATCCTTCCAGTGTGTACTCCCCTTCTCCTCAATCACCCTCCGCTCATCCCCCCCATGTGTCTCTGCATGCATTCACTGTGTGTGATGCATGTGGACCCCTCATGTGCGTGGCATGCCCATGTACCCCATGGGCCATGGCATGCCCATGTACCCCATGGGCCATGGCATGCCCATGGCGCGGAGGTGCATCGGATGGCATTGCATAACATGGTGTGGCATGGCATGGCATGGTATACCATGTTATGGCAGGGACCTGAGCAACAATCAGTTTTACGGGCAACTGCCAGCACAGCTAAGCCCCTTGGCTTCTCTCCGACACCTGTCAGTGACTCTCTCACTGCCTTCCTTCGATCTCTCGCTTCACCTTCCCTCGGCCGTAGGATTCTAGTTTTGAGGTGCCTCAAAAGCACTCGCTCTGATACATGTCAGTGCCACTGCTCTTGACTTGGCTCAAAAGCTTGACTTGACTCAATACCGCCACGCCATCACCCATCAAATCCATCCTCCGCATCCAATCCAATACCTTCTGTGCCAGTGCTCTTTCCTTCCTTCTCCATCCTTCGTTACCTCTGCCCACCCTTTACACACGACTCTTTACGCTTGGTTCTTTACACGTGGCTCTTTACACACGGCTACACATGCCTTTATACACGTGGCTCTTTACTGCCACTGACCATACACTGCTCCCTTCATCCATCTTTGGCTTCCTTCTCCTCTTGTAACCAGCAATATGGGTGGTAATTCCGGTCTGGCGGGAACCTTCCCTGACCCAGTGACAACTGTCACTACCCTCACCTTCCTGTAAGCTCTTCTCTCCCCTCGTGAGACACTTCCAACTTGCAACTTCTCTGCACCAACACCCCATTACAACCCATTGGCACCCCTTTGAACCATGTTGCACCCATTGCACCCCATTGCACCACATTGCACCTCGCAGCACCTCCATGGCCCTCCGTGGCCCTCGCCTTCCTCCAGTGGCCAACATACTGGCACCAGTCTATGTTTGCCTGGCAGCCTCCCTTACGCCTTTATTTGGAGCTGACTAAAAAGTCATATACTTACCAGCCTGGTTTGCCTGGGACCCTACCTCAGGCCTCTCCTGTTGTCCGTTCACTGCGTCACGACCCCCCTCATCACTCTTTTGCCACGTTCATACAGCTCTCAGATTCCTCCCTCTGCTCAAATTTCCCTTTGCACGATTTTCCCTTGTGGTTTTTGTGTGTGTGTGTGTGTGTGTGTGTGTGTGCGTGCGCGCGCGCGCGCGTGTGTGTGTGTGTGTGTGTGTGTGTCCCCTGCCGGCCTCCCCATGCGTTTGCTGCTCCACCCGCGCTACTTGCTTCCCCACACCCTCCACCGTTCATACTACCAATCCCAACCCGATTTCCTGTCTCTTTCCCCCCATTCTCTTTCCGTCCCGTTCTCCTTCCTTCCTGTCGACTCCCAGGGGCCTGTCAAACTGCCTAATCTCTGGGGAACCTCCCATTGACCTCACCAAACTTGTGAAGCTTGAGTCGCTGTAAGGCTGTGCTTGCTTTTGAGTCGACTGCCTAATGTCCGGGGAACCTCCCGCTTACCTCACCAAACTTGTGAAACTTGAGTCACTGTAAGGCTGTGCTTGTGCACACAACCTTATTTAGGCATGACCAAAATTCCCGGCGGGCCGGCGTGCTGGGCCGCCCCGGGTCCAGCTCGGATTTCGCCGGGCTCGAGCATCCCTGAAACTTGGCCCGACCTTAGCTGGCTTAGCCCGGCCTGGCCACCCCCGGGCCAAGGCCGGCCCGGCCCGACCCCTAAACCCGGGCACGGGCCGGGAAGGTTCCCAAGGTTGGCCCGACCTTGGCCCGGCCCAGCCTGACCCGGGCTGGGCTTATGCTGATGCCTAACCTGATTATACGCGCATGCTGGTAGCTTCAGCGCTTGCACTGCAAGGCAAGAATGTGACTCTCCACTGCTGATGGATCTTGCTGTTTCTGCCGCTCAAGCCCCAACCTCTCCCTCCCATGCCTTCCCATAGACCCTCCCCTTTCCTTCCTATCCAGCTCTCTCTCTCCCTCTCTCAACTCTCTCCCTCTCGCTTTCTCTACCTCTCTCAACTCTCTCCCTCTCGCTTTCTCTCCCTCTCTCAACTCTCTCCCTCTCACTCTCTCTCCCTCTCTCAACTCTCCCCCTCTCGCTGTCTCTTCCTCTCTCAACTCTCTCCCTCTCTCTCCCTGTATCTTCTTCTCACCTCTGTGTTGTGTCTCCCTCATCTCAGTGATCTCAGCAACAACAATTTTCTTTCCTCCATTCCCAATTTCCTCGTCGACTTCCCTCGTCTTAAGTCACTGTGAGTCAGCAGCCCACCCACCCTAGTTCATTCTGGCTCGATGGCGTCATTCGAGCATATCAAAAAGATTTAGAAGCTAGGCCCTACCGCACTGGCACCACCGTTACTTCTGGCAGCAATGCTGCAGAGCACTAGAAGAAGAGTCCCTCCCACGACTGCAAGGGCCAGTGGTCACAGCTCAGGGGCACTGGCGCTACGCCCTCCCTCCCCTTTCTGTGCCTTTCTGTGCTCCTCCTCTGCGCTTCAGGAAAAGTGATCGTTCTTTCCTACTTAAATCCCACTTGCCTGGCTTCCAGTCCGGACGTGTTGCCTCACCTTTCTGTCCTCTGGGTTTCCTGTCACCCCCGGACGTACACGTTTCTTGTCCTTCTTCTCGCCCCCTCCTTCTGTGGGTTCTCTCCTCCCCCCTCCACCACCCTGCTGTTTCTCCATGTCTCCTCTCCTCCCCCACACTACTAAGTCGCCTCAAGTGACTTTTTGAGTCTAGTGAAAAAGTCTCTCTTGTTGTTGTTGTTGTTGTTGTTGTTGTTGTTGTTGTTCGCTGTCTCTACATGTATCCTCTCCCACACTATTCTGTGCTTGTCCGTGGGTGTGTGCATGGGTGTGTGCATGGGTGTGGGCGTGTGCATGGGTGTGGGCGTGTGCATGGGTGTGTGTGGGTGTGTGCATGGGTGTGGGTGTGTGCATGGGCATGTGCATGGGTGTAGGTGTGTGCATGGGTGCGGGTGTGTGCATGGGCGTGTGCATATGAATGCGCAGGGATCTAAGTAAGGCTCTTTTTTCAGGGCCCATACCTGCACCGTCAGTCCTCAACACTGCATTCACCTACCTGTGAGATGAGATGACAACTCAGAGCCATGAGCCATGCGCACTCTCTTTCTAACCCGCCGCTCTTCGCCTTGTTCCCACATCTCGGTCCTTCCTTCCTCCACCTTCCACTGCCTTCCTCCACCTTCCACTGCCTTCCTCCGCCTTCCACTGCCTTCCTCCACCTTCCACTGCCTTCCTCCACCTTCCACTGCCTTCCTCCACCTTCCACTGCCTTCCTCCACCTTCCACTGCCTTCCTCCACCTTCCACTGCCTTCCTCCACCTTCCACTGCCTTCCTCCACCTTCCTCCGTGAGCGGGTTTTGAAAGCCCCCCATCTTCCGTGTCAAAACTAACCTGCACCTCTTCCTCCGTCCTCCTCCATCCTCCTCCGTCTTCCTCCGTCTTCCTCTGTCTTCCCCCATGAGTGGAGATCTGTGGGATCTCCCGTATGTGTTTGGCGTACAGGTAACATACCTGTGAGATGAGATGACAGCCAAGAGGCATCTGCACTCTCTTGCTTGCACTTATTTGAATTGATCTGCGCTCTCTCCCTCCATTGACCTCTTCCACTATCACTCCGTTCTCTTACCCAACCCTCCATCTCTTCCCTCCCCCCCCCCCCCCCCTCCCCCTCTTCTCCTCCCTCCCTCCCACTCTGGTTCCCCATTCGTCCCAGCAATCTGGCAGGGAATTCTCTCACAGGGTCTGTTCCCGCGGCCATTTCCAATGTCGCTGGTGCAGTCACCATGTAAGCCAATGCCTTTTCCATGAGAGTAGTTGTTGGTACATGACCCACTCCCTCCCCCCCCTGTCCCTCTTCCTCTTTCTTGCCCCCACCTGTTCCTCTCCAGCACCTCCTCTCCTCCCCTTTGGTCACCCTTCCACATGCTCGTTCTTTAAAGATTTTTTGCTGCGAGTCCGCTCAAGAAATCCGTGCATGTGTGCTGCCTTTTGCCACTGTCCTTCCCTCCCTCCCTCCCTCCCTCCCTCCCTCCCTCCCTCCCTCCCTCCCTCCCTCCCTCCCTCCCTCCCTCCCTCCCTCCCCCCCCTCTCTCCTCCCCTCCCCCCCTCCCGCCCCACTTCCCCCCTCCCTCCCCCCCTCCCTCCCTCCCTCCCTCCCTACCCGCCTGTCCGCAGTGATTTATCGGCCAATTCAATCGATGGCTCCATTCCTGCCTCTATTTCCACACTCAACAAGTTGCAAGATCTGTGAGCTGTGCCTTTGCCATGCTGTTACGATGCCATGCCATGCCATGCGGTATGCCGTGCCATGTGCCGTGCCATGCCATGCCATGCCATGCCATGCCGTGCGGTATGCCGTGCCGTATGCCGTGCCATGCCATGCCATGCCGTGCCTTGCCATGTCAACCACCTGTGCATCATAGTCGCAAGTGCTTCAGATGTTCGGTGTGCGGTGTGTGGTGTGTGGTGTGTGGTGTGTGTGTGTGTGTGTGTGTGTGTGGTGTGTGTGATTCACGGTACGCTATGCTATTTAGGGCCTGCTGGATCACCTCAGCACCTCACTCACTCATCACCCTAGTCATTGGCCAATCATAACAAGAGTCCGCATTCTGCCGGTCCCGTCTCAACCACCAGAGTACTCACGTCCAACCAGTTATCTGGCCCTCTCCCTCCGACTCTCAGTCGCCTCACTAGCCTCACCAAGTTGTGAGTATGAGCAGCCCAAGCAAGGAAGCATATACTTAGGCGCCTCAAAGTGCGCTCTCCCTTTGACTCTGGTTCAGCCCACTGGCCATAGGACTTTGTTGTGAGTATGAGCAATGGGGAGCAGGCACGAGTTATAATATCGCGTGCACTTTGAGTAATCAGATGGTATTTCCTTCCACCATCCGTTTTCTCCCTGCCTTATCTCACTACTAGTCTGTTTCTCTCCGGCCTTCCAACTTTCCACCTCTCAAGCCATGGAACTCCCCTGCCTGCCTCTGCCCGTACATCTCTGCCCCCTTTCCCTAATCCCTCTCTCTGTTGCGCGTGCAGGGATCTGAGTTTCAACCAGATATCAGGGCCACTACCCACCACCCTTATTTTTGCTACTGCTCTCTCCCACCTGTCAGCCTCCCTCCCACCTGTCAGCCTCCCTCCCACCCACCTGTCACTTTCTCTCCCACCCTCCCATTAGTCAGTGTGGTTGCACTAAATCTGGAATTTGTTCACACGGTAAGTACTGTGACTGTGGCTGCCTGCTTATTCACTTATACTCTGCTGTCGCACCATCGCCGCCATCCATCACCACTGCTTTTCCTCACTGTGCTCGTGGCATTCGCCATCACCCTAGGCATCAAAGAATCCACTCCAACTCGGAACCCCCCTCCCCCCCACACACCCCTCCCCTCCGTGTTTTTTGTAGTCGTCTCGAAAATGGACTTCCCTCTCTCTCCCCTTCGCCAGTGACCTGAGCAGCAACCTATTCTCTGGCTCTCTTCCTCTGGCCTACAGCCGGCTCTCTCAGCTCTCTAACCTGTCAGTACACCCGGTAGTAGACATGGGCTTAACACCAAGCCCAGCCAAGCCACCTTCGAGCCGGCTTCGAGCCGAGCTTCAGTTGAGCTGAGCCGAGCCAAGCTGGCTTCGGCTCGCTTCAGCCAAAGGCCGGCTCGGCTCGGCTCGTTTTGGAAGCGCTGAAGCCAGGGGGGGTCGGGTCGGCTAGGCTAGGGTTTATGATGACGCGACACTCAAATGAGAGCCGCGCTTCGTAAGGGATCGAATTCTGACCAACCAACTCCCTCCCTTTCACCGCACTGAAAACCCCCTCATCTACAAATTCCAACCTTTCCTCACAATTGCTCCACTCTCTCTCCCTCGGCTCCCTTCCCCATTTGCGACAAGACCTAAAACAGCGTGCCACCTAGCTAAGCACACCACCACCTTCTAGCCTAAATCCCCCCTTTTTTAAAGTTACATAGCTAGGCTTTGCACCGCGCTGAAACTGAGCCGGGTCGAGCCAGGCTTCGGCTCGGCTCGGCTCGGCTCAGCTTTGGCTTTGGCTTCAGTGAAGCCGTGAGCCGAGCCGGCTTCGGCTCGCTAAGAAAAAAAACCTGGCTCGGCCTGAAGCTTAGCGGAACCGGATCCGAGCCGAGCCGGCTCGGTGTTAAGCCCATGTGTCTACCCGCCACCCGGTAGCATGTCACATGTGCGGCGCCCTGTCTGTTAGAGCAATAGCATGTGAGGCGCCCCGTCTGTTAGAGCAATAGCATTTGTGGCGCCCTGTCTGTTAGGGCAATGGCATTTGTGGCGCCCTGTCTGTTAGAGCAATAGCATTTGTGGCGCCCTGTCTGTTAGAGCAATAGCATTTGTGGCGGCCTGTCGGCACCTCTTACCAGTTAATGAGTCTCTTTCCTTGCATTTCATCCTCCTCTCTATTCTTGTTCTCAATAGTGCTTTCTATGGTTTCCCATCCCATCCCATCCCATCCCGTCCCATCATCCCATCGCATCCATCCAATCCATTATCCATCACTCTGTACCTCATCCCATCCCGTCCCACACCATTTCACCCCTCCCCACCACATCGTACATCCCCTTCCCCTGCAGGGCCCTGTCGTCCAACCTTCTCTCTGGCTCCATCCCAGAGCCCCTTATCGCCACCCTCACAAGGGCACTGCAGCTGTAAGTGCCCGGATGGATCCTCTTTTGATCCTCTTCAGATCATCATCTGTTGATGCACCTCAAAAGTATTGTGGCTCTCACCCGTGCACCTCAGCTGTAAGTTCCAGCAGCCACATGCTGGCTGAGAGGAAGAGAGATATATGGGTGAAGCATGGCTGTGTGGGAATGGGTGGAGCTTGGCTGTGTGGGAATGGGTGGAGCTTGGCTGTGTGGGAATGGGTGGAGCTTGGCTGTGTGGGAATGGGTGGAGCTTGGCTGTGTGGGAATGGGTGGAGCTTGGCTGTGTGTGCTGCCATGGGCTTCTACCCATGACAGCCCTCTTCAACCTTCCTATTGCAGTCTAGATCGTCTTGAAGTTAGTTTTGAGCGCCTCAAATGCAGTCCAGAGATTGACTTGGAGTTGATGTGCAAGTGCGTGCTTTCTCCTCTTACGTGTTTGCTTATATGTTTTGTCTCGAGTCCTTATCCTTTTCTCCTTTCTCTCCTTACCCTGCGATCAATGTCACTTCCTTCTATACCATACCATGCCATGCCATCCCGCCACACCATCCCACACCATCTCCGCCACGCCTTGCTTCAGGAGCATGAGTAACAACCAGCTGTCCGGCAACATGCCTTCGTCTCTCTCCCGCCTCACCAAGCTCACCAACCTGTGAGCCCCGTTAGCCTCCCCGAGGTTGGCGGCCGTGTGTAAACCCTCCCTAAATCCCTGCCTAGCTTTCCCTGAAAGAGCGCATACCCATATGAGCCGCCTGCATACACTCAATATGTGTGCCTGAGACGTCCTTTGGAAGGGATATAGTGCTCCACAGGACTGCTGCAGCGGCGTACCTCATCCTCTCTCACCTTGAAAGAGGTCCTCTAGAAAGAAGGGCTGGGGCTGGCTTTGGAGTCTGGGCTCTGGGTTGGCTTTGGAGTCTGGGCTGGGGCCGGGGTGGGGTTGAGCTGGGGCCGTGATGAGACTTGTGGGTGGCTGCAGTGTCCGAGTGACCTCAATTTGGGGCCTAGTCCACATGAAGCGCAGTAGCCTGGGCCCTGGGGTGGGGCTACCTGCATGTGCGGGGCTACTGTTGTCTGGCGGTCAACAGCAGATGGTACAAGCCTAGCCTAGTCTGGCCTAGCCTAGCCTAGCCTAGCCTAGCCTAGCCTAGCCTAGCCTAGCCTAGCCTAGCCTAGCCTAGCCTAGCCTAGCCTTGCCTAGCCTAGCCTAGCCTAGCCTAGCCAGTCTAGCCTAGCCTAGCCTGGCCTGGCTGGCCTGGCCTGGCTGGCCTAGCCTAGCCCCGCGCGTGCACCGTGCGCATCCAGACGGTACAATCCTAGCCGTTCACCGCATGTGCGTGCGTGCAGGACGTGGTCAGGCCGACGCTCACCTGCCTCACTCCCACCTGCACATCCCCCTACCTGGTTCCACATTACCACCCCCCCTCACTAGTACTGCCTCTACATAAACAACAACAAGAAGAAACAATCCCACTCCCCACCACCACCCCCGCGGCAGCCCCCTCGTCTCCACTGTCCCCACTGTCCTCCCCTCTGTCCTCACTGTTTCCACTGTTTCTCCGTCCGCGCTCTCCCACTTGCAGGAACCTGAGTTTCAACCGACTATCGGGCACCGTGGTGTCATCCATCAGTACCCTCTCTGCGCTTGAGTTGCTGTATGTGCTCTCTGCACTGCACTCCCACCACTGCACTTCCACCACTGCACTCCCACCACTAGGCATGAGCAAACGGCCCGGACGGGCCGGGCCGGATCGGACCGGACCGGAATTTTCCGGGGCCTGGCCGACACTCTGAAGGGTCCCAGCCCGTTCGGGTTGGTCCGGGTATGGCCCGCCGGGCCGGGCCGGGCCGCCGGCCCGACGAGGTCATTCAAGTCGGGCCGGGCGTCGTCAGGCTGGTTGGCCCAAATTCGGCCCGTTTTGAGGGCGGGCCGAGCCGGCCCGCCCCCCGGGCCAGGGTTGGCCCGGATCTAAAAACCCGGGCCGGGCCAGGAAGTCTGAGAAACCGGCCCGGGTCGGGCCGGGCCGGCCGGGCTCGGTTTCTAGTCGAGCCGACCCTAAACCGGGCCGGGTCGGGCCGGGCCGGGCCGTTGCTCATGCCTACCCACCACACGCACGTTGTCTGCTGGATCATGCTTTGAGGCGCCTCAAAATCAGCTGCACAGCACACGTGGGTGGGATGCAGCACGGTGTCATGGAAACTTTCTTATCAGCATGTCTCCCACGAAATCGTATCTCTTTTCTGTGCGGTTTCTCTCATCTCATCTCCCCGTGTCACAGCGTTCTCTCATTGCATTGCCTTGTCTGACTGTGTCTCTCTCTGTCTGTCTGTCTATCTGCCTGCCTGCCTGCCTGCCTGCCCGCCCGCCCGCCCGCCCCCCTGCCTGTCGGTTTGTCTGTCTGCTCATCTAACCAGAGCGCTTTCCAACAATGCTTTCACGGAGACCATTCCAGCAGCAGCCATCGCACAGATCACAAAGCTGCAGAAGCTGTATGCATCACACCATGCCACCACTTGCATTGCGCCACGCACAGGCTCCTTAGCACTCCAAAGGTCAGGCATTGATGAACCACCAACCCGCAGAAGCTGCAGGCACCACCGCACCGCACCACCACTTGCATTGCACACACGCTCAATGCACAGGGATCGGTCAACAGTCATCATGTGCAAATGTGCTTGCTTGCACACTCGCGCACAGGCACTCATGCTTACATGCGTGCATATGTGCATGCATCTGTACACATTCGCACACAGCATAACCACATGCGCCCCTCAAAGCCGCCGTACACATTCCTAGAAATTATATGAAATGAACAGTGCCAAACAGTGTAGGGAGGGACACGTGGATTGGGTGATGAGCGTGGCAAGAGATTGGAGATCAGCGAAAACATTCTCATTGGTTCGCGTCCTCGTGCATTTCGTGACGCGGGGATTGTGTAAACATTGGGTTGAGGGGGAAATGAAAGAACCGGAAGGGCGCAGAGGAATTGCGCAGCTCGCGGAAGTGTTGCGTCGAAATTTCCCAGGCGAAATGTGATAAACGTTCGAAATTGAGGGGCGGGGAACGAGATGCATGCGCGAGAGGGTGGGGGATTCGGGGTGTGGGGGGGGACGAAATCGCGTGACATGGGGAGAAACAACATTGTCGGAGGGGGGGACTAAAGCAGTGAATTTGCAGTACAGAATTCCCACATGTGGCACCTCCTGATGTTTTCCTTGGCTGGCGAGGTTTTGTTTTCCTAGGATGTGGTCACAGGGTAATCCACATCCCAATGTTTATAATTTGATCGGGATTCTGGGAATGTGTACCCCGGCTTTAATGTTCAGCCGCCATTTTTGTGCTCACCACCACCATCCGTTTTCTCCCTCCCCCCCCCCTCGACTTAGTTTCTTGCTCCCTCTTCGCTCCTGCTTTGTTTGCCCCCTCTCCTTTTGCCACCTCTCTGCCTCCACCCTTTTCCATCCCCCCCTCTCTTCTTCGCCTCTCAGTGACCTCAGCTACAACCAGCTATCGGGAACAGTGCCTGCAGCTGTCACTGCTCTAGATGCCATCACTAGCATGTAAGGGACACTCGTTGCTGCTGCTACCATGCACCGCATTTCGAGTCGGCTCTCGAACACTCTCACAGATCTCCTCAGTTACAGCCACCGTTCCGGAACAGTACCCTCAGCTATTTCTGCATTAGATAGATGCGGGCACCTACATGTATGCAGGGGACACTTGCTGCTGCCACCATGCGGCGTTTCACATGTGCTCTTCCATGCCATGCCATGCTATCCCATGCCATGCCATGCCATGCCATGTTCCCCTCGCTCTCGTTCTTTCTCTATCGTTCCTTTCCTTCCCCTACATACATGTTGGTTCCTTCCCGCTATACTCAACCGAAACTCCCTGACCTCACCCCAACCACTCCCCCTCCTCGCCCTTTCCTTCTCTCGCCCCCTCCACCGTGCAGTGACTTGAGCCACAATGACTTGACTGGGCCCCTCCCTACCAGCATCAGCATAATGGCCGACCTCAAGTCCCTGTGAGTTCTCCCCTTGAGTGCACTGCTGCCTAATTCGCCCATCCGTTTACCCTTCTCCTGTGCCTCTGGTGGGGGCATGCGGAGGCGTCTGCATCTAGTATTTATCTCTAGGAATGCTTTTCTCTCTCTTTTTCGAGTCGCAAATTCTCCCCTTCTGTCTTGTAACCCCACCTTAACATACATACCCTCCCCCTTCCCCTGCATTCCCCTCCCTCTCCCTCCTGTCCCCATCTCTCTTCCCGCAGCAATCTGAGTGGCAACAGCCTCACTGGCTCCATACCATCGCACTACTCTGCCCTCACCAACCTAGAGGCCCTGTCAGTACCCCACCAAGCCAGACGCTCTGTCAATGCCCATTGCCCCATATGCCTGACCCCTTCTCTCCTGCTCCCTCCTTTCCTGCTCCGTTGCTCCCTCCTACTCACTCTTGCACGCTCACTGCCTCCCCGGTCTTCTCTGCCTCCCCGCTCCAACATACTCTCTCCTCAGCAACCCCTCCCTTCTTCCCTCTGCCTCCCCACCTCCACATTCGCTTCTTCCTTGCTGTCCCAATGGACCCTTTTTGCACTTTTACCGCTAACCTCCTCCCCCCCAATATCCCCCCTCCCCCCCCCACCCCCCCCCGATCGCCTGCTCCCCTCCCCCTCTTCCTCTCCACCTTCCTACCTAACCTCACCTCCTCAATCCTGTTTCGTCTGTGCCTTTCTCCCACTCTTCTCTCGCTTCAATCCTGCGCTTGGCCGGTCATGACTCATCATCAGCCTCACAACAACATCCCCTTCGCCCTTCGCCCTACTCCCCTTCTCACCCGATCCATCTCCCAACTTTCACATGCCCACACCCGCTCTCAGTTTCGGAGGGAGAAAAAAAAAAAAAAAAAAAAAAAAACCAATGGAACCCACTGGTGCACCCTTTCTTTGGGCCCCCCTTAGGAACCTCTGCTGCAACCGGCTGAATGGCACGCTGCCCACATTTCTTGGAGGGCTTTTGAAACTGGAGGCTATGTGAGTGGTCCGGTCCAGTTGATGCCACAGGCTATGCTCATAGCATTGCCTGGCTGTGAGTGGTTGGTCCTTTCTATGCTGGATTGCGAATGACGGAAGTTTGACGTCCGCTTTGACTCGCCCTGGTGAGCCGACACATGTGGAAGCTTTAAACGGGGTTGGATCGAGGTCGTTTTTGCCAACCACTTTGCTGTTTCCAGGGTACATTCTGGCACTGCCTACAACAACTACGTTTTGTTGTTTGCTACAACGTTCCATTGTTCCTTACAACTCATGACCATGCTTTGCTGCAGCAAGGCCCCTGTCTCCCTTCCCCGCCCCATTCCTCCTTGTGCAAATGCGTTTCTTTGTTGCTACCATGTCTGTGCCCCCTCCCCTCTTCCATCCTCCCATCCCATCCCCCTCCCCATCCCCCCTTCTCGTCCCCCTCACTCGCACCCACCTCTTTCTCTCTCTCTCCCTCTTCCCACAGTGACCTGAGCAGCAACCGTCTGTCTGGCACCATCCCTGTACTCTACACCGGGCTTGTCCGACTCACCCTCCTGTGCGCCCTCACACCTTACTCCATCCCCCACCACCCTTCTCCCACGCCCCCCTCCTCTCTCTGCCCCCCTCGCTCTCGAAATGCTCCTCTTTCACCTGGATAGCTGTCCTTTCCCAATCTGCTGCGCCGGACCTCGCGATTTTTTCATGGCATGATGGCCTGCCTTGCTGTGTTTGTTTTTTTTTTGTTTTTCTGTTTTTGTTTTTTTTGTTGCTTTTCTTTGCTTTTCCCCTCCCCCCCCCCGGTTTTTGCTGCTTTTCCCTTCCCCCAGCAACCCCAGCAACCACCACCTAGCCAGTCCCATACTGGAGCTGATACCCCCCTCCCTCACAAGCTACCACCTCGACAATGCCACTTTTCTTCCAGCATCATCCTCTCTTCTCCTCTTTCTCTTCGTTCTCTCTCTCCCCTCCCCTACCCCTCGCAGCAACCTCCGCAACAACCTACTAACGAGCCCCATACTCAGCCCGGCCCCCCATCCCTCACCAGCTACTACCATATTGAGGTGCCTAAAAAACTAATCCCTCTTCCTCCCTCCTCCCCCACCCTCCTCTCCGACCGACCCAGCCAACACTCCCCCCTGCCGCAGCAACCAGCTAACCGGCCCCATACTGGAGCCGATCCCCGCCTCCCTCACAAGCTGTCAGCTCGACAGCAACTACTTCTCCTCCCTCCAGCCTCATCCTCTCTTCTCCTCTCCTCGTTCTCCCTTTCCCCTCCTCCCCCCCCCCCCCCCCCCTCTTCCCCAGCAACCTGCGCAACAACCAGCTGACAGGACCCGTCCTGGAGCCCATCCCCGCCTCCCTCACAAGCTACCGGCTCGACAACAACTACTTTTCCTCGGGCTTCTCGTCCCCCCCCAACTGCGCGCAAGGCACCATCACCTTCCGCTTCAACTGCCTGGACACCGCCACCCTCCCGGGCTACACCTGTCCCACTCCCGCTGATCCCACGGGAACTGCAGCAGCAGTGCAGCGGGCTGAGGTGCTGTGTGCGGCGTTCTGCGGCGTGAGTGCTGCTGCCCCCCCGTGTGGGGGGCATGGCTCGTGTTACCTGGAGGGGTCGAGCAGAGTGCCCACGTGTGACTGCGACCCGGGGTTTGTGAATGGGGAGCTGCCTGCCAGCTGCGTTGCTGAAGGCAGTAAGTGCACGACGAGGGTGAGGGGATGATGAGGGTGAGGGGGGAGAGTGGAGTTAGGGTGGTGTGTGAGTGATGTGGGCAAATGGTGACATGGTTGTGTTACCTAGCGACCTACCTTCCCATGCGTGACCCTTTTCCCAAAAAGGCTAGTTTAACTCTGGAAATTCGGTTACTTAGGCTCAGTTGTTGTGACCATGAAATTTCCCCAATGTTTGCACCCGCATGCCGCCGCTGCCCGTCCCTTCCCATCTCCGTGCCCCTCGCTCCCTCCCTGCCGTCGCCCTTCCCCCTCACCAGGTGGGGAGGGCGCCCCAGTTGCTGTGCTGTGCAGTCCATAGCAACAGACACAGCGGCTTCAGAGGCGGTTCAAAACGCTTCTTAAGCACAACCAACTCTGCCCATGCCCTTCCCTCCCTTGCATCCTGCCCTCCTCTTCTTCCCCTCACCCCTCCTCCCCACCAGGCAAGGAGGGTGCGCTAGTGGCCCTGCAGCCAACAGCTGCACAGACAGGAGTGAAGGGCGGGGCAGCAGTGGCCAGCAACGGCGCCATCACCCTCACTGCCTCCCAGCCCAACACTTGGGGCGCAGCATTCTTCATCGTCCCCGTCAACCTCTTCTCCTTCTCCCTTAAAGCCGGCGCCTGTGGCCGCACATTTGCCTTCACCGTCTACTTCTCCTTCACCATTCTCAAACCCGCCGCCGCTGCTGCTGCTGGGGACGGGTTTGCCTTTGTGATCGCAGCGAGTGACGCTGCGACAGGCGGGAGCAGCGGCAGTACGGACGGCAGTGGCGGCGGGGGCAGCTTGGGGTATTCAGGCATGGATGAGCGAAGCATAGCAATAGAATTCGAAACTGTCAAGACCACTGATAGCAACGACCCAGACAGCAACCATGTGGGATTTAGCGCCAGAGGCAATACCACTTCCATTGTGACAGCCAAGGCACCCGTGACTCTCAATGACGGCAAGCCCAAGCATGCCTGGATCGTGTTCGATCCGTCTCCTCCCTCTTCTTCCTCTTCCGCTGCCTCTACCTCTAGCGCTGGGTCGAGTGCCAGCAGCAACAGTACCGGCTCGCTGCATGTGTTTCTATCTGGCAAAGCCTCGCCCCGGCCGGCTAAGCCAGCGCTGTCGGTGCAGGTGTCTCTGTGCGAGTTCCTCCGGCCCACACTTATCGAGTCCGCATTCCGCATGGGGTTTGCTGCGTCCTCGTCTGACCCCCCCCAGCAGCACTCTGTCCTCTTTTGGAACATCAGTGCAGGTACGTGGTGGTCAGTGGTGGTCAGTGGTGGTCAGTGGTGGTGGTGGAGCCGACTCAAAAGCAGGCCCGTGCCATCTCTTCCCACGTACTGTTTTCTTATTATCGATCCGTTCCTCCATCATCGCTCCATCCTGCAGTCTCAAGCTCGCATGCTCCGCACGTTACAATTCCGCTTGCTTTGCTCCCTCTCTTCTGCCCTATTATTTTTGCGCCCCTTGTCTTGTCCCACCATGCTCTGCTCTCGTATGGTTCATTCATAGCACTAGCACGACAATGAAAACCTCCCACTGCATTGCTCTTCTTTCCCTTAGACATGGGCACAATGCGATTGCGATTTAAATCGCATCGCATTGGGGGGCGATTTAATTAAATGCGATGCGATTCAAAATCGCATATCGTGCGATTTAATTTTTGGAAAAAAAATCAATCGCACATCGCGTTCTGCGCGCGATGAATATTAAAATCGCACGTGGTATTATATTAAATCGCGCGATGCGATTTTAAATCGCATCGCGTTTTAAAACAGCATGAAAAACACCCCAAAAAACCAGGGGGGGAAAAAAAAAAATGGCTGCTGAGAAATTGAATCAAGGGTAGTCGTAAGCTACAGTGCAAATAAATAGTGTAGTTTCGTAGTGGGTTCCAGAGTAGGTTTCAGTGCGACACCGCCCGCGATAAAAAAAAAAAACGCATATCGCATTTAAATCGCGTTTTCCAGCGCGATTAATGTGCGATTAAATAAAAAATAAAAAAAATCGCGCGATAAACAATTCATCGCATCGCGCAATGATTTTTTTTTTTTTTCGCAATACCAAAAACGCGATTAAATGTGATGCGATGCGATGCAATTTTTCTTGCCCATGTCCACTTCCCCTCCCCCCCTACTCCCCCTCCCCCCCCCTCTTTTCTTTCTCTCTTCACCCGTGTTTCCTTGTTTCCTCACCAGGTCTGCAAGAACCAGCGCCACTCACAGGTATGCCCTTGCAGCTACTATAATTACTCTTGGCCCCCTTTTTTTCGGTCGCCTGGAGGTTTTGTTTGGCGTCTTCCTTCCAGCTACCCTCCATGCCCCCTCCATTACCCTTCCCCCCATACATTCCTCTCTCCACCCACCCACACCCTCTCTCTATACACCACGCTGCTCCCTCCCCCCCCTCCTCCCGCATTCCCACCCCCTCCCCACCACACCCTCCCCACCCTCTCCCCACCCCTCCCCATCCCCTTCACCCCTTCCCTCTTCCCCCCAACAGGCCAGCAGTTTGGGTTCCGGATCAGCGAGTCATCCATCTCACCAGGGGGGGCGAACCCTTTCTTCCGCTATGCCAGCGCGGGCGTGCAGGCAGCAGGGGGAGGAGGAGGTGACGAGGAGGTGTGGGTGGTGAGTGAGGCGTTTTCGTGGACTGGCCCGAGCATGCTGTGGCCCGTCAAGAACCAGGGCGCATGCGGTGAGCGCATGGGGGGTGCGGATGGGGGTGAGGGTGGGGGTGAGGGTGGGGGTGAGGGTGGGGGTGAGGGTGGGGTGGGGGGTGGGGGTGAGCGCATAGGGGTGGGGGTGGGGGGGTTGGAGGCGCTGTATTGTTGGGGTGGAGTGAGAGAAGGTCTGTGCATCCCTTGTGGCAGGTGTGGCACATCACATGTGATGTTGGATTGTCTTGTCCCCTTTTGCCCTTCCCGTTCCTCTACGTCCCACCTTCTCCTTTTCCTCCCTTCCTCCTCCCCCCCCCCTTCTTTCGCACCTTCCTCTTCCCATTCAGCACCCCTGAAAGGTGACTGCTGGGCATAAACATGATGTAATATATACTTATATACAACACACATGACTAGAATAGGAGATGTAGACAGACATTTAAGTTATTGGGGGGTTGTTGGTTGGGTTCACCAACCATATTTGGGTTGGGTTGGTCAAGATTGGATTTGGTCTTGGTCCTTTGGTTGGCATTTTCCAACCAAATGGTCCCAAGGCTCGACCAATCAGCAACCACCACACTTTGGGGTTGCTTCCCCTCCAAGCAACCTCTTCCATCGGCCACATTTGGCAGCCAATAGGAGTGGCTTCCTTTCCAACATTTCCTTGCTCCTTGGTTGTACTATAGAGCCTCTTGGCTCCCTTTCTAGTTCAACTCTTTCTCTCAAATGCTAGTTCTTTCAAAGCAGTGGTGGGCAGCTTCTAGGTCGGCTACAGTATCCCGTTCCACCCTTCCTCTCCTCCAAGCTCTTCCCCTTCCCACCCCACCCTTCCTCTCCCCCTTCCTCCCTCGCCTTCCCTCCCACACGAGTGCTTGACATATGCAGTGGTGGGCAGCATCCTCGTCAATCTCTCACTCAACCTCCCATCCCACCCTTCCTCTCTCCCCCCCCCTCCCAGGCGACTGCTGGGCTTATGCAGTGGTGCAGCATAGAGGCCGCCTACAGCATCCTCTTCACTTCATCCTCTCTTTCTAACCTCCCATCCCCCCCTTCCTCTCCCCCCCTGTTTTTCTCCCAGGCGACTGCTGGGCGTATGCAGTGGTGGGCAGCATCGAGGCGGCCTACAGCATCCTCTTCAACCTCTCAGCAGCGCCGCTCCTCTCCGTCACGTACCTGCGCTCCGCCCTCGGCTCCTCCTGCGACCAGGGCAACTCGCCCTCGCAAGCCTTCCAGTATCTGGTCACCCTCAACGCCAAGAGCAAAGTGGGCCTCACGGAGGATGGCAAGGAGGCGGCGGTGGCAAAGGGAGGGAAGAAGAAGAAGGGGGGGAGTCCGAGCCCGCTGTGCAGCGTGCCTGTATTTGGTCAGCTGTTGAAATCGCTTGGGATATCGTGCACTGGAGGGCGGGACTCTGGATCGGTAGGTTTTGTTGCTCTTTGTTTCTGCCTCGTTTTCCTGTTTTTCTTTTTAGGCGCCTCAAAGATATGTCACTCGTCGTACTTTGTCTTCCTTTTGTTTTCCTCTTCTTTTTACTGGTTGTGGAGTCGGCGTAGTGTGGGTTCAACACTCATTCTTCCTTCAACACTCAATGACGCTCGTTTGGGTTCACGTGTTTGTTTTTCCAACAAAACTGTAGGTTCTGCCTCAGGTGCCTCTTCAGGTGCTTCGTCAGGTGTTCCTCAGGTGCCTCGTGATGCGCTCCAACATAATCTTCCTTTCCAAGCACCAACCTACACCGACCTGTGCTGCTCCTTACCTTACATTCCCCCCCCTGCCTCTTCCTACTCTTGCTCTGTCCCCACCTCCCCTACCCCCGTGCCAGACCACGCGATCACAAGCCGTTCGATGTCTGTGCCCTGCCTTCCCTTTCCTCGCAAGTTGTGTTGCTTTCTGAGAATCCAAGTCACTTCCTTCACTTGGCTTACAGTGCCCTCCTGTCTGCTTTCTTTCCTCCCATACCCTACCTCCCCTACTCCAACTCCCCTACCCACTCCCCCCTACCTCCACCCCAGAGCAAGCTATCAGGGGGGCGTTCAGACAGAGTAAACAGGTTTGAGCGCATGGCGCTGCACAGCTGGTTCGGTGACGTTTGACTCGACTCAAAGGCACCTCCTTACAGGGCTCTCCCTTCCGCTTTGCCTCTCCCCTACCCCCTCCCCTCTCCTCACCTCAGAGCAAGCTGTCAGGGGGGCGGTTCAGGGTGGACGGGTTTGAGCGCACGGCGTTCCACGGCTGGTTCGGGCTGCTGCTGGCCGTGCAGCGCCAGCCGGTGGTGGTGCATATAGAGGCCACTGCTCCCTCCTTCCTGGACTACGATGGGGTGAGTGAGCTTGTGTGTGAGCTCATTACGGGTGTGAGCTTGTGTGGCACATAGAGGAGTCCGCTGGCTCCTCCTTCAGCTACGATGGAGTGAGTACGTACACATAATGCTGCCCGCTCGCTCCTTGCTGGATTACGATGGGGTGAATTCACATAGAGGTGCCCGTGATTTCACAGCTGGTTTGGACTGCTGCTGGCGGTGCAGCCACAGCCTGTAGTGGCGCTCGTTGAGGCGTCTGCTTCCTCCTTCCTGGACTACGACGGGGTGAGTGAGTTTGTGTGTGGAGTTGTTCAGACGATCAGGTGGGGTTCTAGTCTCTTGCCGAGAAGGTGCACACCCTTGTATGTGCAGCGCCCACCTGTGGTGGTGGCACATAGAGGGGTGGTCTGTCTGTCCATGTGTGTGTGCATGTGAGTGTGCATGTGTGTGTGCATGTGTGTGTGCATGTGTGTGTGCATGTATGTGTGCATGTGTGTGTGCACGTGTGTGTGCGAGTGCGCGAGTGTGTGTGTCTGTGCGTGTACAAGTGCATGTGTGTGTGCGTGCAAGTACGCACAGATGTCCAAGTACCAGGACCCAGAATCTCCTTCAACCTCAACCACGCGGTGCTGGTCTGGTAGTGAGCTCCTGCCACATTATGCCACATCGTTGCTACATCCCCGCTGTGCCGATCCACCCCCCGCTCTCTCCCCTCTCTCCATTCAGCTCTTCAAGTACCAGGACCCAGAGTGCTTCTCCTACAACCTCAACCACGTGGTGCTGCTGGTGGGGTACCGCCTTATAGGCTTTGATCCCACCTTCCCCCACATGGTGCCGCCCTTCTGGATCATCCGCAACTCGTGGGGGCCGGAGTGGGGCGACAGGGGCCACATGCGCATGGACATCCAGGGCGGGGATGGGGTGTGCGGGATCAACACCCTGCCTGGGATTTACCCGGTGGTGAGGGATGCTGCAGACCCGTGTAATTTGCAGGGGAGGAGCAGTGAGGTGTTTGGGTCTCTGTTCAACCCGTGTGGGAGTTTCAAGTGCACGCCGGATGGGGCCAGCAACCGGTGTGATTGCAACGACCCACGATTCGTGGAGGCTAAAAACGCGGATGGCTCGCGCACTTGTGCATACAGTGAGTGTGCTTGTAGTGGCCGTTGCTACACATTCGTTGACAGAAGCTCTGTGTTGTGACTTGACCCGGCCCTCCCTCCCTGCCGCCTTTTCAATCAGCCAGTGCTTTTTGTCATGGTGAAAGTGTAATCTCCTCATGCCTTCGCTTCTTCCCAGTAGCCTCACAGCTGTTTTCTCTTTTGCATGGCTGTGCGGTGCGGCTGTGCGGCATGGCTGTGCATGTGTTCCCTCCTCCAGAGGATGCGTGCCGGGCGTCGGTGCATAACCCATGTGCGGTGGGCACGTGTGTGAATGACGGCAAGGGCTCGTACTCATGTGTGTGCCCCCCGGGCTTCAGGCAGGGCACCACTGTGGATGGCACCTTCTCCTGTGGTCCAGGTAACGTTCTTTTACTGGGATCCAGGTACGTTTCTTCTCCTCTGTTCCAGGTACCTTTCTTGTCCTCTGCTCCAGTTACCTCCACTCTATTTCATGCTACTAACAAGTGTTGACTTTCTCATCTACACTGTTGGCTTCCTTTCTCCACTCCTCGCTTGCTCGCACCTCCTCATCGCACATAACCATCCACCACACCCATCTGCACCCCTGTGCATTGCTCTGCACCGCACAGGCGACCCCAGCAGCACGTACAAGGTGGTATCTGAGGGCCTCACCTGCGCTGACATCCACCCCGTGTACGGGCTCACTCTCATCCAGTTCCAGCAGCAGAACCCGGTACGTCCTGTGTGTGTGATGCTGCTGAGGACGGAGAGAACACGTTTGTCACAACTCATTTTCATCATAAGAGCACAAGTCACCCACCCCGTATCTGGGCTTAACGCTGACAGCCAGCCAGCCACCCCCTGTACGGGCTCACTCTCTCACACAGTTCCAGCAGCAGAACCCGGTACGTCCCTTTGTAACATATCAATCAGTGTCCTTCAAAGAGACAGAACTCTTGTAGTTTGGCTTCACGCTGACATCCACTCCACCCCGTGTACAGGCGTACTCTCAACCAGTTCCAGGATCAGAACCCGGTAAGGCTCTCCTTTACCCAGAAAAGGTTGAGACATGTTCTTCAAAAGAGCAGCAATCTTTCTCTCTGCGTAATGCTGACATCCACCTGATGTGCGGACTCACTCACTCGCACCCTAAAGATCAGAAACCGGCAGCCCTTGCTTTCCCACTGCCTGTGCAGTGAGTTGGGACCCTGCGAGTGTGCGTCCCACTGATTCCCTTCCTCTGTGTGCGTGCTCACTCTCGCGCCGTTTCAGGGTCGGAACCTGGCGAGGATAGCACAGCACAGCACCTTTGCTTTCTCCTTGTCACGTGTCTCCTCTCCTCTTCCGTCTCCTTCTCCTCCTTCTCCTTCTTCTTCTCCTTCTCCTTCTCCTTCTTCTTCTCCGTCTCCTTCTCCTTCTCCTTCTTCTCCTTCTCCTTCTCCTTCTCCTTCTCCTTCTCCTTCTCCTTCTCCTTCTCCTTCTCCTCTTCCTTCCATCATCACCTCCCACCACATCCCACTCACCACAGCTTGCCTCTTCCCCCTTCCCCTTCCTTCCCTAAACAGAAACTGGACTGCAGCGCACCACTCCCTGACACCACAGTGGTCAACGTCAGACAGATGGACAGCCTCACTCCCTGCTCTGTCTACTACACCACGTCTCAGGTGCGCTTTCCTGCCTTCCTGCCGGTCCGCACATCCCTCAAAGCTCATCTGCGTTAACAACCTCGCTCCCTGCTCCGGCAACCATGCCACGTCTCAGGTCTACTCCCCTCCCACCACCCCACCTGCATCGACAACCTCACTCCCTGCTCTGCCTCTTCGCTAACAGTTAAATTCCCAGGTCCTCTCCCCTCCCTCCCCGCCGTCACATCTGCCATTTTACAACCTTTAGCCCTTCTCCCAGAACCCCTAGTACTGGGGCGCGGACACCTCAATAACAGACCACCCAGGGCCTGTGGCCCTTTGTCCCAAGGCCCCTAGCAGCCCAACCTTACAACCCCGGCGCCTCTCTGTCCAGCGCAACACCCCTCCTCCTTTCACCTCCTCCACATCCCCTTTGTTTCCGCACGTGATGAGACGATTTTCGAGCTGCCTACACACCATCTCCTCCTCACTGCACCACCTCGACCTCCCCCTCTTCTCCATGACTCCCCCTCTTCTCCATGACTCCCCTTCTTCTCACTGTCCCGTTGCCCTCAGCAACGCATGTGAGCCCCTGGCCGCCTATTTCCAATCCAAGCCTCAACCCCAAGTAACTTCCTCTTTGCTTCCCCTCTTCTCCTCTCATATTTCCTCCTTCCCCCCCTTCCCCCCCACCCCAGGGCGACACGTGTGAGTCCCTAGCAGCCTACTTCTCTCTCTCCACCGGCTGCCCAACCGACCAGCCCTGCACAGACGCCTTCCAAGCACTCAACCCAGGCCTGGACTGCGCCACCAACAGCGGGCAGCTCTCCCCCAGCCAGGCGGTGTGTGTGGAGCGGCGGGCGCAGAGCGCAGCTTCCCTGCTCATCCCGGTGTGCTCGCAGTACTTCCTGGTGCAGGCTGGGGAGACGTGTGAGCAGATCCGGTCTGTTCCGTCTACGCCGCTCACCCCGCTCGAGTTCTTCCGCCTCAACCCCGGCATCAAGTGCAGCCGCCTCGTGCCCAAGACTGATATTGGTAGCTTCACTGGCTTTGAGGTCAGTGGATGAATGGCTCCTCCCCGCCCTCTCCCCCCTCTCCCCCCTGCTCGTCATCCCCCCTCCTTACCCTCCGTAATCCTTACCCTCTCCCCTGCTCCTCATCTCTCCCCCCTCCTCACCCTCTCCTCCATCCCCTTACCCATTTACATGTTTTCCTTCTGCACTCCCTGCTTTCCTCCCTGAGCTAAGCGCACCCCATGCCCATACCTACCTCTCAACCTATGTCCATGCCTGCTCTTGCCCCATGCGTGTGCACGTTCCCCACCATTCACACCGCACCTGCATGCATGCATAGGCAGGGCGTTCAGCTCCACTGACCGCTTTTGTCCACTGACTACCTAACCACCGACCTACCTGTCTACCTGCCTCCGTGGCTTGCTCATGCCCCCTGTTCTTGTTCCCCCCACCATTCATACTGTGTTGATCTTCACGGCAGGAGCGTGCTCCAGTGCCTTGTATCTGATCGCTGCTACGCCACCCACCCATCCACCAACCTATCTTCATGCTTCCCTCTTGCCCCTCTACTTGTGCTCCCATCGTTCCTACCGGGTCGACATGCAGGCGTGCATAGGTAGCTCGCTCAGCTTCACTGCAGGAGTGTGCCCCAGGAGCCAGGCATACGTGGTTGGCACAGGCGACCGCTGCACCGCATTGCAGATCAAGTATTTCAAGGGCATCAAAGGGTGTTACAAGCGCATCAACGGCTACGAGTGCCTTGATAGACTCATCACTACCACCAGGGTCTGCATTCCGGACCAAGTGAAGATCAAGAAAGGGAGATGCACCGTTTAACATGGTGTTTGCACTAACGGCATATTCATATGGCCTCGCGTCAGACTAATGCGGTTCTGCGCAGACAATGCGGTGCGCCATGGTTCGTCGCGAGTGTGACGCGAGGTCAGGTCTGATGTGAGCTGTAGGAATGCACCCTGAGACCGTGTTCCTACAGCCTCTTCCCTGACCAACCCCTTCTGAGACCGGCGTCATGCTGCATTGCACTGCGTTGAACCAACTCGCTTCAAAATTGCACTGTACTGTTGCTCGTGCCTCTCGGTCAGAAGGGCAAGTTTAGGAAGAGGCTGTAGGTGTAAGTAAGAACAAGCAGTGCCGTCCTGGGTTACCCTGGTTTGTAGTCTAGCTGACTGGTCTTCGGACCCTTGCCTCAGAGGTTGGACTAGTAGTGCCACCATGAGCTGCGTGTCTCTTGCCCGGCATTGCCCCTCATCTGGTCTAGGGGGTGTGTCAAACATGTGTATATGTTACAATAGGCTAGATAGGTGTGTACTCTTAGAGAGTACAATCCCTTAGCACAAAACTACCGTGTATCTCACATTCTAGTTACTTCGCTACTTTGATATCTCTCATTCTCTTCTTCTTTACTGAACCTCGCTAACATCGAGTACAGCCCTGACTTTCGGAAGTCCAGGCTCGGCCCGACAATTCAATTTTGAACTTTGTTCGACACCCCAAGCCTACACGCGGTGTCCACGGTCCTAATTTTCAGTTTTTTTTTTGTCTGACTTTTGAAGCAGTTGAAGTAGACTTCTGTGCAACTGTAGTTCCAACGGCATCCTGTACAGCAGGCCCCCAAATTGGTTTTGGGTCTGTCTGATTCGTCAGAGTCCACTGCCTTCCCTTGGTATGGGTTGTCAAACATGTTTAGTTATCATGCTTGTATAGACTGTATAGGGTCATCTTCTAGAGAGTACAACTGTTAGGTATATGTTTGTGTACTCTCTCTCTCTATTCATCAATTTCACTGTCTGATATGGTATCACGCGTAGGTAGGATCCCCCCCCCCCCCCCCCCCTCACGCTTCCGCTCGCCCCCTAGCTGGGCCCCGTCGTGCTCCTAGCCCCGTCGCGACCCTCCCTAGCCCCGTCGCGACCCTCCCTAGCCCCGTCGCGCCCCTTCCTGGGCCCCGTTGCGCCCCTTTCTGGGCCCCGTCGCGCTCCTCCCAGGCCTTGTAGCGCCCCTCCAGGCCCCGTCGCGCCCCTTTCAGGGCTTCGTAGCGCCCCTCCAGGCCCCGTCGCGCCCCTTCCAGGGCCTGGTAGCGCCCCTCCAGGGCCCCGTCGCGCTCCTCCCAGGCCCCGTAGCGCCCCTCCTGGGCCCCATTGCGCTCCTCCCAGGCCCCGTCGCGCCCCTCCCTAGCCCAGTCGCGCTCCTCCCAGGCCCCGTAGCGCCCCTCCTGGGCCCCTTTGCGCTCCTCCCAGGCCCCGTCGCGCCCCTTCCCGGGCTTCGTAGCGCCCCTCCAGGCCCCGTCGCGCCCCTTTCAGGGCTTCGTAGCGCCCCTCCAGGCCCCGTCGCGCCCCTTCCAGGGCCTGGTAGCGCCCCTCCAGGGCCCCGTCGCGCTCCTCCCAGGCCCCGTAGCGCCCCTCCTGGGCCCCATTGCGCTCCTCCCAGGCCCCGTCGCGCCCCTCCCTAGCCCAGTCGCGCTCCTCCCAGGCCCCGTAGCGCCCCTCCTGGGACCCATTGCGCTCCCCCCAGGCCCCGTCGCGCCCCTACCTGGGCTTGGTAACGCCCCTCCAGGCCCCGTCGCGCCCCTACCCATCCCCGTCGCCCCTGCTCGGCCCCGTCGCCCCTGCTCGGCCCCGTCGCCCCTGCTCGGCCCCGTCGCCCCTGCTCGGCCCCGTCGCCCCTGCTCGGCCCCGTCGCGGCCTATCGGCCGCGTGGCGCCCGCCCGGCCCCTGTCGCGGCGGCCCGGCCCCTGTCGCACCTGCCCGGCCCCTGCTCGCCCGCCCGGCCCCGTCGCCCCTGCCCGGCCCTGCTGTGGCCTGCCCGGGCCCCGTCGCAGCCGCCCGGCCCCGTCGCAGCCGCCCGGCCCCGTCACAGCCGCCCGGCCACGTCGCAGCCGCCCGGCCACGTCGCAGCCGCCCGGCCCCGTCGCCCCTGCCCGGCCCTGCTGTGTCCGGCCCGGCCTCGTCCCTGCCGCCCGGCCCCGTTGCAGCCGCCCGGCCCCGTCGCAGCCGCCCGGCCACGTCGCAGCCGCCCGGCCTTGTCGCTGCCGCCCGGCCCCGTCGCCGCCGCCCGGCCCCGTCGCAGCCGCCCGGCCCCGTCGCCGCCGCCCGGCCTTGTCGTGCCTGCCCGGCCCCGACGCACCTGCCCCGGCCCTCCATACTTCCTGGTACTGTCCCCCGTTCCCCGCACCACTTTGCACCCTCCTGCACTTTCCTGCCCCGCCTTGCATCGCATTGCACCTCCCTGGATCGCACTAACCGCACTGCACCGCACTGGACCGCACTGCACCGCACTGCATCGCACTGCACCGCACTGGACCGCACTGCACCGCTCTGCATCGCACTGCACCGCACTGCACTGTCCTCCACTGCCCCTCATGGCTGCTGAGCTTCGTTTTGATGTTGAGGGTCAGCCTCTGGAGTTCGAGGCGTGGTTGGCTGACCTTCGCCGCCACCTCACTGGCCAGCGGCAGGACGGCCACCCGCTTTCTGCACACCTAGACGGTATGCTCCCCTGCCCTGACCCCCCTGCTGTGCTGCCCGCTGATCCCACGCCCGCTGAGCGCGAGTCCACTGCCGCTGCTGCCCTTGCCCGCTCTGTCTGGCTTTCCCGCGATGCCCTTGCTCAGCTCGCCATTAGCAATGCCCTCCCCCCCACTGAGCGCCCTCGCTTTAGAACCATTCCTACCGCCCAGGCCTACCTCGATGCTGTCATCAAGCGCTATTCTACCCCTCCTGCTGCCTCAGTGGGTCGCCTGATCCTTCCCCTGCTCTTTCCTGACCTGACGTCTTTCCCCACTGTCTCTGACCTCGCTGCCCACCTGCGCTCGATAGATGAGGCCTGGCGCGCTGCCTGCACTGATGCTCAGCTTAGAGTCCACCAGCCTCCCATGACCTCTACCCTCTACCTCCTTGCCACCCGCCTACCTGACCGCCTTGCCGCCGCCCGCGACCAGTTCCTTAGCATCCACCCTGCTGCTCTCACCCTCACCGACTTTGTTGACACCCTGACTGCCATAGAGACTCGTCACCGCTCCATAGCCCTGGCGAGCGGTACAGTACCGGTCCCTATCTTTCAGGGTTGTGCCCCCGCTCAGTGTACCTTCTCCGACGGCTTTGTCGCTGTGGCTGAGACTGCTGCTGCAGTGCAGTCCCGCTCGGCGAAGGGCCGCCGCCCCAAGGTTGGGAGCGGCGGAGGCGGCGGGGGTGCGGGTGGGGGTAGTGGTGGAGGCGGGTCGTCCGGTGCCGGTGCGGACGTGGGGACCCTGCCTGGTCCAGCTGCCCCGCTGCCTCCACAGTTGCAGCAGCCGCAGCAGCAGCAGTCGCCGCAGCCGCAGCCTTCGCAGCAGCCGCAGCAGCCGCCGCAGACGAGGCAGGCGAGTACTCTCCCACCTGGGTGGCCTGGAGCTGGTGGTGGTCGTGCGCGTGGTGGTGCACCGGGTGGTGGTTCTGGAGGCGGGCCCTGTCAGTACCAGATCCAGACCGGTCCTCGCCGCGGCTTCGTTTGCGGTAAGATCGGTCATTCTACTCCTCGTGTTTTCGTCGCCTGGACGACCTGTTCCGCCAGCGCTTTGGCCCGGCGCCCGACCTCCCGGACTGGCACAGCTTGCTTAGGCGTAGCATTAGGATTTTTGACTTGGACATGGATGCCATTGTAGCGGCCTTGCATGTGATGTATGCTGATGACTCTAGTGTGCTTCCCTCTTATTACCCCGTGTTGCCTAGTGTAGCGGTGCCTAGCGTAGACTCCCCTGCTGCGTCAGGCGTAGGATCTCCTGCTTTGCTTAGCCTTGGTGCTTCCACCGCTTCACTGCTGCCTCGCGCGACTGCTGCGCTTTCCTTCACCTTGGACTCTGGCGCCTCCCGGTGTTTCTTCCGCGACTCCACGACGCTGACGCCGCTGCCTGTTCCCGCTGCAGTTACTCTTGCTGACCCCTCCGGTGGTCCCGTCGTTGCCCGCAGTTCCACCTCCCTTCCCTGTCCGGCGGTTCCTTCGGGCACTCTCACAGGTCTGCATATCCCCTCGTTCTCCAGGAACCTCGTTGGTGTCGGCTGCCTCCAGGACCTTGGCGTCACCACTACGTTCCCTGGTCACGAGCGGTATGCTGTCTGTACCGAGGCCGCCACTGGTGCCCCCCTGTCCACGTTCCCCCGGGACCCAGTGTCCGGCCTGTTCACTCTGGACACCGTGACCCCCCCGGCTGGAGCGCTCCCTCAGGTGGCTGCGTCTACCCAGGTTGCTGCTGCCTGCTCCTGTCGGTCCCTCACTCACCCGACTCTCCTTTGGCACCACCGCCTAGGTCACCCTGCGCTCCCGCGTCTGCGTCACATGTCCCAGCACGGTCTCGTCCTTGGTCTCCCCGGTTCGTTCCCCGAGTTTCCCTCCTCCCCCGCCCCACCGTGCACGCCTTGTGTCGAGGGCCGGCTCCGCCGTGCCCCTCACTCCTCCTCTTTTCCCCCTACCACCGCACCACTGCAGACTCTGCACATGGACGTCTGGGGCCCAGCCCCGGTCCATGGGCCGCGTCGCGAGCGCTTCTTCCTAGTGCTTGTCGACGACTTCACGCGCTACACCACCGTCTTCCCCCTGGAGCGGAAGGCCGACGTGCCTGACGTTCTCATCCCCTGGCTTGTCTCTGCTCGTGTCCACCGCGGTCTCCCTGCCTTGCGCCTTCACTCCGACCGGGGTGGCGAGTTTGCCTCAGGTGTCCTTGGTCGCTTCTGTCGTGCGGAGGGCATCACCCAGACGTTTACCCTGCCGGACTCCCCGCAGCAGAATGGGGTCGCTGAGCGACGCATCGGTTTGGTCATGGAGGTGGCTCGCACCTCCATGATCCACGCCGGTGCACCCCATTTTCTGTGGCCGTTCGCCGTGCGCTACGCCGCTCACCAGCTTAACCTGTGGCCGCACCCCCAGCGGCCGCAGGTTTCGCCGACCCTTCTGTGGACCGGGTCCCCTGGTGACGCGTCTGCGTTCCGCGTCTGGGGCTGCCTTGCTCACGTTCGTGCCTCTGGCACGGACAAGCTCACTGCCCGCACCCTCCCCTGCGTCTTCCTCGGTTTCCCCCTTGACGCGTCCGACTGGCACTTCTACCACCCGCCGTCTCACCGCTTCTTTCACTCTCGCGACGTCACCTTTGACGAGTCCGTCTCCTTCTACCGCCGCTTTCCCCACCGTGGTCCCCCGGTTACTCCCCCCCTTTTCCTGGTTCCTCCCTCCCTGGTGGTCCCTGCCCCTCCCCCCCCCCGCCCCCCCGTCCGGCCCCCTCTGGTGTGTCTCACGTCACCCCCCTCCCGTCGGTCGTCCCGGTCGACGAGTCTTCTGACTCTGGTAGTCCTCCGGCGCAGTCCTCGCCGTCTGTCCCTCCCCCGGTGTCTCCTCCTCCACCGCC